GCGCCCAGCGCCCCCCCCGCCAAGCGCGCTCCCCCCGCAAGCGCCCGTGCGCCATGTGCCCAGGGCCAGGCCAGCCCCAAGCACCTGGCGGGCGCATTGAAATGCCCCCGCGGGCGCCATGGCACCGTGTTGGGGACCACGGATATAGCTCTTCGAAAGAAAGCAATGTGCAGGCTCTGGCCTTATACCTAGCAAGCCAACCTGCCATATCAGAGCACTACAACCTTAAAGCCACTGGTCAGAAGGGAGCAGGACAAGGAAAAATTGCCTCAATCTATAACTCCTCCTAAACAATAAGAGCTAGGACCACCGAATTTGGTATGCAGCTTCCTCTTCTCCGAATTTAAAGCAAGATGAGGGTTTGGTTGTGCCAGGAAATAGGAAGTGCCTGGAATAGGATTGTTTTCTGTAACAAGGAAAGGGAGGTAGCTGATCAGAAGGACAGTGATACTACAGAATGACCACTAGGGGCAGCGAATGGGAAAGACTAAGATAGGGATGTTAAATATCGGTTAACTGAATAGTCGATTAACCTCATGAATTCTTATTGGTTACTCGACTGTTTTGTAGCCCTCTAGCCCCCTGCTGCTCCGCGCTGCTGCCTCTTGTACCAGCAAGAAGCTGGTTCACGAGGGAAGCCAGTTTAAAAAACCAGCTCCTCTCACAGACTGGCTGCCTGTTGCTCCATGCTGCTACCTCTGATACAGCTCCACCAAGCCTTACCAGGCCACCCAGGGCATGAGCCCGCTGGCCGGCCTGTGTGTGCCTGCCCCCTTACTCCACCTCTCCATGCCGGGACCAGCCAGCATGGCCCCTCACCCCAGGGAGTGCCAATGAGACTGGCCAGCATAGCCTCCAGACCAACCTAGGAAGAACAGCCAGGGCCAGCCTGTGCAGCTCCTCATGGTCTGGCCCTCAGGAAGATGCTAGTGAGCAGGCTCCCTGCCCCAAGCTAGCCCTAGGGAAAAGCCAGAAACTTATTTGAAGTCTTCTACAAATTTATTACATATCTTTACTAGCCCAGCAAAAAGCTTTAATTGTGCTGTGATAGGCGGTATCTCTAACGATTCAGTAGAGTATAAGGCAGGTAGCTCAATGTCTCACCTGATTATAAAGGAGGTGGGGATGGGCTGATAAAGAGCAGCTCTAGGGTATGAGTTGAGAAGTCCTAAGCTAGAAAATCCAGGAACAATCAAAGTTGGGATCAATGTCTGGGCAGAAGACTATGTAGTGTTACTTTTCAATTTTGTGTTAAATCAGCCAGTGAGGTCCTAGACCAGAGTTTCTCAACCTTTTTTTATAAAGTATCCCTTTTAAAAAAAAATTAAAATTATAAGTACCCCAATACCTACAGTTTTTAGATGCACACAATTTTTTTCTACCATTGCAACACATTTGTTTAAACAACTTAATTGTAGCCAAGCAGGTGATGACATTTTTGGGTGTAAAAAGTACAAAAATAATAAGCTCTGTCAAACTTACAACAAAAATTCCATTTTCTCCAATTTTCAGTTGTGTTGATATACCCCCCAGACTTTTCTCGAGTAACCCTGAGGGTACTTGTACCACTGGCTGAGAAACACGGTCCTAGACTATAGGGGTCCTAAGTGTTACAGTAATATCAACAACAATCATAGAACTGGAAGGAAACTCAAGAGGTCATCAAATCCAGGCTCTTGCACTCATTGCAGGACCAAGCACCATCTAGACTATCACTGACAGGTGTTTCACTAACCTGCGCTTAAAAATCTCCAGCGTTGGATATTCCACAAGCTCCCTAAGCAATTCATTCCAGTGCTTAACCAAGATGACATTCAGGAACTTTTTCCTCATGTTCCAACCTAAACCTCACTTTTTACAATAATAAAAGGGAGTAATTTTTGACTCTACCAAATATGCAGACTATTTTAGAGAAGAAGCTTGGGAAAGGCACCTATTTTCTCACATGTCAGCACCAATATTTTAACGTTATTTTGTCCATTAAACACTCACTGAGTTTTCTTCATCATCTTGATCCAATTCACGCTGTTGTGCTTCCTGACGTTTCAGTTTAACATCCATTGCCTCATTAATCAAGTCCCGCAGGATTGATGCTCCTTTGGCACTTTTAACAAATGGATGCTTAACAAAAAGAAATATATATATATATATTTTAGAAGTAGCAAATGTAGACAAAGACAAAGCAGTAAAATACTGTTATCCAGAGCTATACCTATCCCTGCTGAATTAATTGGTGTACACAAAGAGAAAACTTTATTATAAACTTTTACTTCATGATTTGTCCTTTTAGTGACCGAAAATGATAAACCTGTACTGAGTCACACTAAAAAGGGCATTTCTACATGACTTTGCATTCATAAAGGTTTTCTGAACCATTATATCTAGAAATGAAGTAAATTCATAACACCTAAGATAACACCGTGTCTATCACTTTCCAATAATAGGCCAACAGCCTGCCTTAGTTATGGCCTTCCGTTTCTGACATTCTAATGACTAATTGAAAAGCCGGACTATCAATACCTTGACAATGCTTCAGAAACCAAGATGAACTTCTATCATGGAAAGAAATAGGTACTTTAGAGGAAAGAACATGGTACAAAGGGCAGATAATATCTATCAGCTCAAAGACAGCAAATGGAAGATTAGTTATTAAAACTCAAAGAGTGCTTTAGAAATTGAATAGCTCTGCTTGTATTACTTTAATAGTAGCAACTACAGGCAAATGGGGATAGCTAGGAAACTGAGGATTTTAACATTAACAACCAGATATGGCTCTTTCTTAAGCATAGGGTCAAGTTAAGGGGTAAACTGTATGTCTTAACAGTTAAGTGTTAGGATTTTTCTCCTGAAATCCTGAAACACTGAGTATGGGAACAGAAAGCAGGAGGAGATGGTTTAATTTCCAGAGAAGAAACAGAAAGTTTTAAAACCTTACATATTTGATCTTACACCGTACAAGTTGCAGAGGGCAAGCATAGAGGGAAACCAACATCCAAAATACTCATTTTCTGCACTGTGATTTGTCTAGTTAAGAATCCCTTCTGAGAGCACCCTGGGTAACAAATACCAGACCTGTAGAAGCTGTGTGGCAGTGGCTCTTTGGTCAGGACTTTTCACAAGACACTGTTTTACAAAGTCTGTAAAGTAGTCTGACCAGAGTTCCGGCTTCCGGAATGTTGGAGGAGGATTTGTAGGAATCATGAAAATTGCCTGATAATAAAAATAAAAAAAAATAAAAAAACATTATTATAGTATTCCTTGATTTTGGAAATCTTTAGGATAAAAACACAGAATAGACAAACATTTGATCAAAGCATAGACGCAGACATTTAAAAAGTTATTGATGTATCAAGACCTTCTGTGGCTTCAAGTGTTTATGCTATGTATATTCTCCTCTCAACAGAACAAGAGATTTATACACCACAGTGAAAAGGCATTCCTCGTATGACAAAGCCACTATTCTGTTGATAATGACATTCTAAAAGTCCTCTATTAAAAAGGAAGGAGAGAAACAGTTACATAACGCAGGATAGCCACTGCATGGTCATATTCCACCACTCAAGAGGTAGAATTCCCGAAAGAGCTTTGCCTCTGAAAAATCCCTTACCCAAGAAAAACATGGTGGAAATCTATGGAGTAGCAAAATGGTAGGAATTAGCAATGATCTTGGAGAACCTGGTTCCTTCAGAACATCTTCCTACAAGAACTGATCCTGAACAAACACACTGGTGTACTCCAGTTTGGAGTACAAATTAGAGTGGCAAGAACTGGAAACAATATGACAAAGTGGAAGCTGAAGAATGACCCCAAAGATGAATGTGGAGTCTAAACAAAAAAAACTGGAATGCTGATTGATAGCAATATGCTATCTTGCCTAGTTCCTTGGGAGCACAAGTCATAACATCAGATCTTGGCTGAGATTTTGAACCAATGAGCTATGATTACTACCATGGAAAACTGTCTTTGCTGGTGGCTGTGACAAAACGATTTACTTTGAATGCAACTCACAAGACTTCCCATTTCTGCTCATGTATATTCTGAACAAACCTGGGAATCACACATATCTTGACACAAGAGAATCAAATTGGCAAATTTTCCTTTAAAGATTTTTTTCCATTTTACTAAATATTAAAAAGCACAGGTTAAAAAAGAACTTGCTCATTCTTCCCTAGGTTAAATAGCTAGACAGATGAATAAGCATCTTATAAGACAGTAACTGCCAATGGAGGCTGCCTGCATTCTGCAAGAGTTATATTTGAAAAGGCCTCAGCTCTTACCCTCATTGGATGAATATCTGCATATGGTGGTTTTCCTTCTGCCATTTCTATTGCAGTGATTCCCAGTGACCAGATATCTGCTACACAGTTATACCCTATTTCTTGGATCACCTCTGGAGCCATCCAAAATGGGGTTCCTATAACAGTGTTCCGTTTTGCCATGGTATCCTAAAATGGAAGGAGAGAGGGGAAGGGAAGGGGGGCAGAAGAAACATGTGTCAGCTACTGCCAGTCCCCGACTTATGAACGCATCGACTTACCACCAACCACACTTGCAACCCAACCTCCCATTAACCCCATTACAGCCGGTCCCCGACTTACGAATGCACCATCCGCACTTATGAACAGCGCAGCTGTAGGTAAAAGCATGTATTTCCAACTTACGAACAAACTGAATTACAACCAGGTGTTTGGAACATAATCCGTTCATAAGTTGGGGACTGGCTGTATTTGTTAATAAATAACACTATCAGTGAAGGTTACACACAAAAGTTAGACTCAGTAAGACTGAAATATGGAATTTTGCACATCAGGATTGAGATGCATTGGCAGAAACGTGTGAGGAGGACACAGTAAAAAGAGTAGGTACTAATGTGCTACCACACAACCAACTATTTTGGTCTTTAGTTCTGTGAATAGGAAAGCCAGAGAGTGTCAGCCTGATTGTCCCTCTTCTGGGCCCCATGGCAATGCATGTGCATTACATTCATGTAACTGCTGAAGAATTGAATTTAGCATAATCCCTTCAGTAAGTTTTTTACTTGTAACTCTAGGCTGAATGAGAAATTTCTACACACGCAACTGAAGTAACAATTTTACTCACTGTAAGTTGGCCTGCTACCCCAAAATCTGCAAGTTTAGCATGTCCTTCTGTATTTAGTAATATATTTCCAGCTTTGATATCTCTGTGTATTTTCCTCATAAAATGTAGATATTCTAGTCCTTTGAGAGTTGATTGTACTATTGTAGCTATTTCCTCTTCTGTCAACTAAAGAAAAAAGCAGATAGATAGGCATAAGATGGCAAAGACAGACATTTTCTTGAACTACAAAACAAGATTCCCATGCCAACTAGCAGAAAATGTGATGCATTTTTCAGTTACCAAGACAATATTTTTTAAACACAGTACAACTGGTTTGCTTGGTCTCACTTCATATATATTGCGTATTTTGTGTGCATGCCCTTTCTTACAGGTAACTTGCTATAACACAACCAACGTAAGAAGTATACAAGGACAACTATAAAAAAACTGAACTCCTGAAAATCAGGATTATATTTCAGGCACACAGACATTTTAATCAGAAAACTTACTCAAACTGCAATTACATTACAGTAATTCCTCATTTAACACTATAGATATGTTTCAGAAAATGATCGTGTTAAGTGAAAACTTGTTATGCGGGGTCAATTTTCCCATTGAAAATAATGGAAAAGGTGGGGGTTGCGTTTCAAGCAGCGGTGTCTGTTGGGACTGGGACATAAGGTTGTGGGAGAAAGGAGACTGGGTTACAAGCAGGGAGGGGAGGTGTTTGGCTCTGGGGAAGGGAAGGAAAGGAGAGAGGAGGGGGATTGGGTTGGGAGTATGTCCCTGTTGGGGAATGGCATGGTGAGCGGCGAACCCTCTGCCACTTTGCAGGGAGGCGGGGGAAGCCCCGCGCAGCCGCCAGCAACAGGCTGGCTGGGGAAGTCATGTTATTCCGGGGATGGTTATGTAATTAAAAAAACGTTCCCTAAAAAAAAATCGTGCTATCACAAAAACGTGTTAAGCGGGCATGTGTTAAATGAAGAATTACTGTATCTTGAAACATCCAGTTAGCTACATACTTAAACATCCTGGTTTTCAGGAGCGCTGAGCACTTGCAGCTCACAGGACAGTTATTGAGAGCTCTGGATGCTCTGAAAAAAGAAAAATCAGGCCAAAGAACTACACATAGACTACTATAAAGTTACTTAGTATATTATGCAATATTTATACTGGATATTTCAATCCTGACATTGCATAAATATGGATGACAAGGGAGAAAGGACATACTGTTTTATTTCGTAATCGAATTATATCAGATACAGATCCAGCTCCACAGTACTCCATAACTATCCACAGGTCCGTGTTCTTAAAATAGCTGCCATAATACTTGACAACATGGGGACTACAGAAAATTAGAGAAAGAGAGTAAGATACGATTGACTGACAGCAATTGCATAAATAGGAGCACAATACAAAGCACAACCGAAAAAAGATGCTAAGAATTCGGGGTCATACCTGAGATCCCAGGCTTAAGGCTGAATATATTACAAGGTTAAGAGTTTACAGGAAATGCTCATATCCTTCATTTCAGTATTTCCTCTTAAATACTGTAACAGCCATTACTCCCAGTTCTGCAATTTAGTTCTGTGACATGATGTATTTTACTAATATAATAAGAATTAGGTCTTCACAGTACAGTTAGTCAGTTTATCTTATCTATAGTTGCTGCCTGGCTGCCCAAAGAAGCAATAACCTACGCTCTATTAATGTATCAAATAGCAAGAATGACCCTTTGTCCTTTGGAAAGAAGCCAAAGGCTTTAAAAAAATGGGAGTCATAAATGGACCAAAAATAAACTCTTTGCTCAAGGAATGACCCTCTCTCATGTAAGAATTTAAATTGGAATATCTGAAGAGTTAGTCACCATGAAGGAGTCTCCCTGAATGTTTGTGCAAAGAACAGAGCTCTTCCAAGATTCACTATGCCTGCTGCTAACAAGCATTGAGCAGCTGAGCAAAAATGGAAGGTCCCATTTTAGGCCTTTGTCTCACTCTTTTAAAAACCAGGTATTTTAATCTGTCCACCCAGGAGAGATTGAAATGCTGCCCAGCTGATTAGCACAGTACCCTCAGCACCCAGACCCAGAAGTTTGTACTGGTGGTGCACATCCACACATGCCTCAGTACACATAAAATGCATTCCGCACACGGATAGAAAAAATTAGAGGGAACATTACATGTGGCCCCTATGCATAGAGGCAATTAGGGAGGGTTCACTTGCTGCCTCCAGCACCAGCTCATACCCCACCCCCCATCCTGCACCTCCTTCCATACTCAAACTCCCCCATGGAGCCCACACCCTAACTCCCTCCCAGAGCCTGCACCCCACCCCACCCCAAGTCCTGCCCAGTTTCATGCCTCCCAAACAACCTCATTCCCAGCTCCACCCCAGAGCCCACACTCCCAGCTAGAGGCCCAAACCCCTTCTAAACTCCAAGCCACTGTGTCAGCCCAGTGAAAGTGAGGTAGGGTGTAAGCAACGGCAAGAATGGTGTGGGAGTGAGCGTCAGCAGGGCCTCAGAGAAGAGGCAGGGCAGGAGTGTTCAGTTTTGTGTGATTAGAAAGTTGGAAATCCTAATTATAAATCATTGGGTCCATGTTTTAGTACTGCAAATCTCATTCATTTTAAGTTTTTTTTGCTTACTTACAGTATAAGAAAATTGTTCTTCAGACCAGAGGTTTAATACTAGAATAAGAAAGGACTTAGAAATAGTATGTAGCTTTTAAATATTTATCCATGGGAAACACTTTTATGGCAGGAGGCCAGATGCATATATGATCTCTTCAAAGGTTTTCTGCTCAGACAGTTTTTCCAAAGGGAAGGATTGAAATCAGTGAGATAACACAGGGCCTGACTTTCAAAATACAACCACTCCACTTGTGTAAGAGTAATTTTGGCTGTGCTCTGAAATATACTAACATTTCTAAGTGCTGGCTCTGAAAATGAGAATTCTGTCACTTTTTCAGATAGCACACTGCTCTGTGCACATGTGAAGTGAAACACGTAAGTGGAACTCAGGTGGAGGCATGTAATCGTGTATACATCACCTACTCTCTCTCCCCTTTCAGTTTTCTGAGTGGCACTTGCTGTAAACAAATGTATAATCTATTAAACTAGACTGGAGAGAGAATATTTAAAAAAAAAACACAATGTAAATCGTGTTCTTTGATAACTGTTGATTAGGCCACTTCAGACAGTACAATGGATGGTCTCACTTCTGAAAAGTGTTTAATACCACACCAGTGTTTCCTAGATTCAATTGCTAAGAAAAATATTGCATGTGATTTGCTTAAGGAGTTGCAGATGGGATTCATTACATTCATTTACCTGTCACATTGCTGCATTATGGATATTTCCTTTATGATCTCTTGCAGGTCAGACTCAACAGGAACCTGTTTAATTGCAACAACTTGACCTGTTTCTTTATGAATAGCTTTGAATACACTGCCATAGGATCTGTAACAATCAAAATGTGAAATACTGAATACAAGCAATACGACACGTTAAAAAATGGCACACTTTCTGGTTTATACTTAGAGGTGCATCATACTCTAGAAAAAAAAAGGAGCATTCTTTAATGACCTCTCTTGCCAAGAATATCTTAATGGGTGATTTTTGAACACCATGTACAATATGGACACCATAAAAAAGGCGTATTAGCAAAACTTCAGTTGATCCACAGGTTCCTGCTGCTATGGTAACAATGAAAAAGAAAAGTAAAGATACTCATCACCACATTCCCTATAAACTTAAAAGTATCTTTTTACCAAAACTTCTGCTAACTCATTTCTCTAAATTATTTTCAATATACAACAAAAACTTTGTTATCCAGCATGTTGGGAGAATGGGAAGTGCTAGTTAGTCAAATATTCTGGTTAATTAAGAATTCAGAGTATGGGAGGGGCTCTGGGCTAAGGCTGGAGTACGGGGTGTGGGATGTGCTCTGGACTACAGTGCAGGCTCCAGGGTGGAGCCAGAAATGAGGGTTCACGGTGCAAAGGGGGACCTGGGTGGGGGCAAGGAGTGAGGGCTGTAGCTGGGGGTGCAGCCTCTGGGGTGGAGCCATGGATGAAGGCTTTGGGATGCAGTAGGGGGCTCCAGGACAGGGCTAAGGGATTCAGAGTGCAGGGGGAGAGAGGTGTGCAGGGTGCTAAGGAGGGGTTTTGGAATGCTGAGCAGCGCATACCTCGGACAGCTCCCTGCAAGCTACAACCTGCCCCAGCTGCTCTTCTGGGAAAGTGCTGGCAGGCCCACTGCTTCCACTCACAGGTGCTGATCCTGCAGCTCCCAATGGGATCTGCGGAGCCAGCATTCGGGGCAGGATGGTATCAGCGCACAAAACACCCTGGCCAATCCTCTGCCTAGAAGCAGAAGGAACATGTCGCCGCTTCCAGTGACCCACGTGAAGCCAGGAAGAAGCCTGCTCAGCCCCCACCAGACTATACTGACAACCCAATGAAGTTCAGAGTGCAGTTCATAGAGCTTTTCAGTTGGCACAGGGTTGGATAACAGCTTTTACTGTACATTGAACTGAGGTATATTAAAACTAGAGATGTAAAAATGCAGTTTAAATGTAACTTAGTAACTGCTAGAAGTCATAGCAGTTACACATGCTTCAGGCTCTGCAGTAGAATGCCCAATCAAGCTTTATACTGCATAGCCTGTAATAATACTTCCTTCCTGGGAATAGGGCTGGCAAGGGATGCTGCCCACCTGGTCCCAGGGAGACTTTGCTGTGGGCTCTGCAGCCTGTTCTCAGGGAACAAGCATGTAATCTGAAGCAGGAGAGGGATGGCTGGGCCTGCCTCCAGGAGGCCCTGGGGGCCTGGGGCAGCCCCCTCCCTGGGGCAGGCAAGGAGCTGCTCCAGCCCCTACTGGTTAACTGGAACTGGTAAGCTCTACCTTTTAAGGGTGAGGCTTACTGGTTAACCAGTTAAGCTGTTGCTTATCTCCATTTAATTAATGAAAAATCATATTAGTGTCCAGATTCTCTCAGAGTGAGATATAACACTGCAATAGATTCAAGGAGGCAGGAAAATAGGATAATGTGTTAGGGGCACTGTTCCTAGAAAAATGAAATGCCGCAAGGATTCCCATAAGCCATGGTTTTGACTAGGGATGTAAGCGACTAGTCGACTATCCAATAAGCAAATGCTTATCAGATAATCGACTAGTGATTCAACTAGTCGCTTCCCACCACGTGCTGCCTCTGTCAGAGACAGGCAGCGAGATGGGGGAGGGCTGGATCCGATGCTGGGGGGAGCCGGTTTAAAAGCCGGTTCCCCTCAGCACTGTCTGCATGAGAAGGGGCAGGGGCACAGCAGGGAACTGGCGGCGCTTCTGCCTTTGAAATACAGCAAGAGCAGGACTCTTGCTACATTTCAGAAGCAGAAGTGCTGCAGGGAGCCTGGGGCGAGCTGGGGACTCATACAGTCTCCTGCTGGTCCCACACACCCTGCTTTTGAAATGTACAAGAGCTGGGCAGCTCTTGTACATTTCAAAAGGAAAACACTGCCCAGAGCACAGGGCCAGTGGGGGACTGTTTGAGTCCCCCACTGGCCGTGGTCCTCACGGTGCTTCTGCCTTTGCCATGTAGCAAGAACCAGCAGGGCTCTTGCTACATTTGAAAGGCAGAGGCGCCCTTATCAGCTAATCAAATAGACAATGCAAATTACCTCAACTATTCGATTAATCTAAATTCAACATCCTTATTTCTGACCCTAATATAGAAAAATCTTCAGGTCTTGGTGGAAATGTAGCCTAAAAAGTCTCTGCATTTCACATCTGAGTTTTCATTAGCATCTAGTAAACACTGTTTAAGCTATTTAGAGATGAACAAAATTGAAAGACAAAAGAAAATAAGAAGTGCTGGCCCATACACTGCAATATTGTGTTTTTCTATAAAAATCAAAGTATTTGGATAATTAAATCAATTATTGCTTCAAAGAAAAAGATCTGTATAAAAATTTATTTTGAGACAGAATGGCTTAGGACATGTCAATTTTAATTTCTTATAAAACTGTAAATGAATACAAAAAAATATAAAAAATTATCTTACCGGAGGCTTTCCATTTATCATCTTCAATTTTTCCACCAGCACTGTAGTGTCTACTACAGCTATTCCTAAACCTTGTCTTAAACACATTTGTCTGTATCTACTAATACCCCAAATATATTCCAGCTATCCTGATGAAGAAAAGCTTTTCCAGCAGACGTTTGTAGATTGTCAGAAGCTCAGAATTCAACACTGAGTTCAGTTATTGCAGTTTCAAAATTTCACACAGCACTTAACTGTTTAACTAGATGCCAGTTAGGAAAACAATGTACAGTCCATTCCTTTTGCTAACAATTCCTATGTGTAATTGTTTATGTGCACAAACGTAGTGTTAAGTTTCTTGGGTACATCTTCAAACAGACTACTAGTTTAGAGAAGCTGTCTGTCTCACCTGGATTTGTTCAACATATC